AGCAGGAATTCTCTTACATAAAGAAAATGAAGTACTTCAGAAGTCCTTCTGATTTTATAAAATGGAAGCCACAATCACTTGCTTTGTGGCAGACACAGGATAGTTGCTATACATTATTTTACATTCTACAACTACAGTATTTGCTTATACAGAGGAGTGTTGTCATTAAATGAACCAGTGTGCATGAAACTTGCCTTGTCAGTTGCTGATACCAGAAAGAATTCGCTACATCTCTTCAATACAAGTTCTCTCTATAACCTCTACAAATCACACATATGATTGAGTTGAAGATGAATCAGATTTGGGATGTACTGTTGCAGGTCACAAATGATATTGCTTGCCTGATGCTTCTTGCTACTGAAATAACTCTGTAAAATTGATACTGATGTAGTTACAAACCATACAATGAACTGTTTACAACAAATCTCTCTCTTAATTGTTTATAACACTCACATGCAGGTAAATATATGACTCCGTTCTCCTGATGTCTTCTTATTCTTTCTTTCTTAACAAAATGTTGATGACATTTCTGTTGTCGTTTTCAACTATAAAATTTACAAAACTGAACTGAAAGGAAATTTGCTTCATTGCAAGTGAAGTTGTACCTGTGCTTAACTAATTATACACTATGCTATGAAGATGTATGGCAAAGTGGATGTATAGATCCACGTATTCTTGACCTCAGCACTAGTTGGTGAGTGGTCAGCTTCGCACCCCAGCTGCTTTACCCCAAGGGAAAGAGCCCCTCGTAACCATTGGACAGAAGGCTGGGTGAGTCCCAGAACCAGCCTCAACAACATGGTGAAAAGAAAAATCCTGTCCAACTGGGATTCAAACTCTGACCCCTTAGCTGTTCAACCTGTAGCAAAAGGTTATACTGCCTGCACTGTCCCTTCTCATTTTGCATGTGGAGATGTACTTAGATAAGGGCGTAACAACAGCAACGAATGTATTTAGGAACAGAACCAAAAGGCTGCTGCCATAATTCCATTCTCACACAAAATCTTTGAAGTAATACAGAAAATACATCACATAACACTGTATGTCTCTGATTTTATGGAAATGAAACAAATGACAAGGTTAGAGAGAAAAAGAGGTTATTTCAAAATATGCCTCAGTTACATGACCCATATGCATGACTCAGAAATGTGACCATGCAGTTTTCCTGGACAGCTGAAGAACACATACATACACAGATTAGGTTACCAAACAACTTACTTACTTACTTACTTACTTACTTACTCATGGAGCTGAGCCCTTCTGGAAGAGCCGCCAATTCTGCAGCTACTCAAGAATTCCCCAGCATTTTATGGAACCCAAAGGTTCATTACCATGTTCGCAAGAGCCCTCCACTGGTCCCTATCCTGAGCCAGATCTATCCAATCCATACCATCCCATCCTCTCTCTCTCTAAGATCTATTTTAATATTGTCCACCCAACCTACATCTTGGTCTTCCCAGCGGTCTCCTTCCTTCCAGCTTTCCCAATAATATCCTATATGCATTCCTCCTATTCCCCGCTCATGCTACATGCCCTGCCCATCTCATCCTCCTTGACTTGATCATTCTAATTATACTTGCAGAAGAGTACAAGTTATGATGGTCCCCATTATTCAGTTTTCTCCAACCTCCTGTGACTTCATCTCTCTTCGGTCCAAATATTCTCCTCAACACCCTGTTCTCAAACACCCTCATTCTATGTTCCTCCCTTAATGTCAGAGACCAAGTTTCACACCCATACAGAACCACAGGCAAAATTATAGTTTTGTATATTCTAATTTTGTTTTTAGACAGTAGAAGAGAAGATAAAAGGGTATGGACTGAATGATAGCTAGCATTACCTGAGTTCAATCTCCTCTTAATTTCTTCCTGAATCAGGTTTCGACCTGTTATCGTTGTTCCCAAATATCTGAACTGTGCCACATTTTCAAAACATCTGTTTCCTATCTTTATGTCATGATTTTGCTCTGCATTTTGGTGACGAGACAGTAACAATACTTATTTTCCTCTGTTTTTACTTCTAGACCAACCACTTTACTTGTGTCAATTAAGGTTTGTGTTTTATTCTTTACGGTATCTACATTATCACCCAGTAGATTCACATCATCGGCATAGACCAACAGCTGATGTGTCCCATTTGGTTACCAGACAACAAAGCAGAAAATTATCTTGCATGGCAACCTTTTTCTGTGCTCATAACCTAACCAAGCACTTTCAGACCTCTAAGCAAGTACTGAGTTGGATGGTTTACTAAGATACTATATCAAAAATCAAGTTTGGATTCATCAGTCTTCATATAAGTTGTAACAGAAACACAGCTGTCTTTCAGCCATTAATTTTCAACCAGGAAAATTTACAGTCTTACACACTGAAGATAAGCTTGGTAACTGAAGCGATGAAGTCAGAATGTGTTTGTATATTGCAGACATAAATCATGTTACAATTGTACTCCAGTTTAAAAAAAGTGATTATGAAGATGATGATGACTAATATTGTGACACACTGCTAGGCAACGGCCTCATAAACATGTTCCAACACGCAACAACGGGAGCTGTGTTCTCAGTGGGCGAATCAGCAGTTAAGCACGCCAATGAACTTGTTGGTTGGATGGCTATCACGTGATAACCTCAACAGAAGCATTTCAAAGACAGGGGCCGTGCTTTCTGTGCAATGGTCCATGTTGTAGCTAAATAACGTGAGTCCGCTTGTAGCTCCATCAGACTAGAGAGACTACAGAGTATAGACTCAAGAACCATGGAGACTGGAGACACAATTACGTCGGCATTTCAAGGTGATTGAAGAAGAAATGACAACAAGACTTCACAGTGATTTGAAGTGATAGTTTCTGTTATAAATTTGATGCCAGTTAACAGCATGTCTTTATGATCTGTGAAGTGAGTAAATCAGTGTTAGCACTGCATTGCCTGTAATTAACAGTAACTGTAAAGGAAGGTGTTCATAAATCCAACCATCCTATCCGGAACCAATTATATTCATCACACTTACCAAACTACATATGACAATATCTTATGCTGTGAGTACAAGCGCACATTCAAGTGCACGCACACAAACTTATTTCAAAATGTTGCTGCCATTGCTACAACCACCACCATTACTACTACTGCTGTTGATAATAATGATGATAACAATAATAATGACAACAAAAATAAGAATTATGGTGATAAACCAGAATAACAAGAACACCACCAACACCATCACATCACTCAACCACTCTTGGGAAGCCAAGTGTTACTCAATCACACAAAAAAAATCCATTCTCTTGACGGGGGCCAAACGTGTGCCACCTTGTCATTCTTGAGAAGGCGGAAACAGGAACAGGAAATCATGCCACAAATTATATGCTGTCATAAACAACAACAGTACTGCGGAGAAAACATGAGTGCTTGAGCTATATACAATAAAGGTCATTCAGTGCTGGATGTCACAAGTGATTTATACACAGAACACAGACTGTATGGTCATACCTAGAAGAATGAGAGTGGACCATGTTCTGATAACATCCAACACAATAATGCCAGTCTAAAACTGTGGTGCCACTCAATCAAGTCATCATTGCCATGGATCTGTCTAGAAGTAATAGTAAAGGATTTAGAAAGTCTTGTATATCTTATGCAATATAAACAGGGAGCAGAAGTAGTTGAGAATGTTTAAACCAAAGATGAAAATATGAGCAGTGAGTATAAGACAAACAGGAATTGTGTGTACAGAGAAGTTGAGAAAGATGATAAAAGATGGTGTACATAGTAGGGTATAAAAATGCATAATGAGGTGATTCATAACTTGTACCCTTCTCCAAGTATAATTAGACTGATCAAGTCATGGAGGATGAGGTGGGCAGGGCATGTAGCATGAATGGGGGAGACGAGAAATGCATATAGGATATTGGTGGAAAAGCCAGAAGGAAAGAAACCACTGGGTAGACCAAGGCATAGGTGGGTGGACAATATTAAAATGGACAGTAGAGAGATAGGATAGGCTGGTATGGATTGCATTGATATGGCTCAGGATAGGGACCAGTGGAGGGCTCTTGCTAACACAGTAATGAACCTTCGGGTTCCATAAAATGCTGGGAAATTCTTGTGCAGCTGCAGAATTGGCAGCTACTCAAGAAGGACTCAGCTCCATGAACAAGTAAGTAAGTACATAGTAGACTGGTAAAGCTGAACATAAGGCTAGCGACTTCACAAAGGAAACTCTCAATAAATGTCAAGTATAACATGCTTTCTAATATTTATTTTCTTGCACATGTTTATAGTTAGAGTATGAAACTAATTCATAAAATTATTTTTTTGTGCAGACACATTTCCTAATGCAAGGTCATCCCATATTTGGAATCATTTTCCATCTGGGTAAATACAGTAGTACACTTAAAAAGTGACTAATTTTTAAACTGTTACAGTAAAAAAATAAGTATACTGCAGAAAAATTCTCATGCTTATCTTGATTCTCAAAATGTTCCAAAATTCTGTATCTCAAACTGAGAATGTTAGTCTCTCATATGATTATTTTCAACAGATGCTCAAAATCACAGAAAGTATAGTAATTATACTGCATGAATCCCCTGCAATACAAAGACTAGAAGGTTCCTCCTACCTATGGAAAGGGTTTAGTGAATGTTCCTAACCAAATAGGCTACTGATGAAACATGAACTGTTACTGTCCATGAAGCTATATTTCATAGGAACTGAGGTTCTCACTACAGTGGTTATGAAGAGTTCTATCTTCTCGGATATAATGCCATACACACCACTGAATGTCAACAAACATTTTGGAGGAATATGTCATCTCCATCTTCAGGTTCGATGACTAAGCCAAGCAAGAAACCAGTGTGAAGAAGGCAGCAAGCAGAACTCTCAAGCTGGTTTCTTGCTTGGCTTATTCTCTGACCCTAAAGATGGAGGCAACACGTTCCTTCGAAGCACTTGTTGACTTTCAACAGACTATATGGCATTTTATCTCAGAAGATAGAACTCTTCGAACTATCTTTTACTTTGTAATTCCTTCCTGCCTAATCAAGACACTGGAACACTTCCTCAAAATTAAGATCTGGTATCAGTATATAAAACAATGGCAATTGTAACATGCAGCCTTTACTTGCAAACAAACACTGTGTTTGGATTAGTGAACAACATCCTCTTTCTTTTTACAAAGGCATGCACACGGCATTCAGGAATACCAACACTGCCTTGTAATGTACTGTGTATTCTTTGGGGTTTCTGCAGAAACTGTATTCCTTCCTTCTGAAGATTCTTCATTCTGGAAGCCGAATTCAATATGAAAATAAATGTTACTTCTTTAACATCACTTCATGCCCAGTTACAAATGTTTACAGAGATCGTGAAATTTTAATGAACACTTTAAGCTTAAGAGTGCCCTTCCATTGTTCATAATACTTCAAATTTGACCATTCAAAACTAAAAGTAATTATATTAATAGAGCTGTCATAGTTAATTGATTAACCAACCTAATTATTTTACTGTTGAATAATCAAGACATTTTATCTAATATCATTAATTTCCAAGCTTTGAAGTGGAAAATGTCACTTAAAATATTGGTGTGCTCATCAAAGCCTTGCCCATAGGTCTCTGCACCACCCAACTGTAAAATACCTTAAGTAATGTTCTCAGTATCATTTTCCATGTCATTATTATTCACCAATTAATAAATCAGTTGTTTTGACCCACTACATTTCTAATAGCCAAGTAACTCATTAACTGGTTGATTAATACATTATATACAGTTAACTAATTAAAAATGTTGGCTGACAGTCCTAGTTATTTCTGCAACCCTGAAAAAATTACTAGACTTCAGAATAAATAATACATTTCACCCCATCTACAGTTACAATTAGCATATCTGCGAAGCTTAATTTATTTACCTGCAGTTCCCTAGTCTCTATATTATAGCACCACATCTATTAACCCTACAAGTGTTAAGTGTAAAAAATTTCAACCTGGTGAAGTTGTCTGTGGTGCCCCAGTTTAATATTTTGATGCTTTCAAAAACTGCCATATTTGACTGCATGTGATATTTAGATACATTTTATTTGAATTACATAATTAAGAAATATCTAGAAGTAACCGAATCCATACATTTCAAGTTCTCTCTGAGTTCTTATACAGTACACATTACTTACCAGCAAAATTAGACTCTCAGAACACAAATGATAGTGATAAAACTGAATTATGTGGAAGAAGGCAGTCAGCCTACTGACACTGAACATGGAGAAACAGAAAATAGTGTCAGTTATAATGTGAGTATATTTCTGACGATGGGAACACTGATTCAGCATCTGGAAGCAGTGACATGAGGACCAAAGGTTCAGAACGGTTACATCACAGCAAGCAAGAATGAAAGAATTGCAGTATCATTGTTAATAAAGATTCTAAAACAAATTTTTGAACAGAAGCTGCTAATATAATAAGCACCATTTTGTGCATTTTTAATTTTGGGTCATATACAGCTTGGGGTTATTTTAGTAAAGGGTGTCCAAAACCCTTCCAACAATTTTAGAAAATAATTACTTGTATTGTATGTAACTGGGATCACTTGCATGGTTGTCCATCATTAAAATTTAAATATTAAAATATCACACAATTAATTCTCTTCAGAGTGGTATACGATAAGACTGTGTGTTGAAAACTGTATCAGTGGTCTGCATCTTTGTTGGATTTGACTTTGCAGTGTTATGGCTTGGCTCTGTAGGGATTAAAACTGGCACTTGTAGGGTTAAACATCAAACATCCCAAGTACCTCAGGCTGCTAGCAATTGGATGTATCGCTGCTGTACATCTTGCTGCTCAACTGGATGTGCATAGGTGGTTGTGGGGCCTGCTGCTTCGCAGCAGAAGTTACCAGCTGTTTTACTGAAAGGAAAGTGAATAAATGTACAAAAAATGCAAAATAATTACATTCAAATTCAACCCTGAGTCCCCTTTATTTTAATACTTTCTTCATACTTCTCTGGACCACGGGTAGGTGATGCCTCTTTATAATACAATTTTATTTGCTGCAATGAACAACAAAACTCATCTGCACTAATAGTGTAATGAAGCAATTCCCATTCTCAGTATATCCTAAAGAGGTTTTTGTATAACTAGCATAATATACTAAACATTATATTGCATGTAACTTTTCCCAACTCCAGTAGTTCCCACACATGTACATCACTTTCCTGTTTCAAATTAGAAGAATGGGTCTCACCCCCCCCCCAAAAAAAAAGAGCACCATTAGAAGAGCACATATTTAAATCCAGTTAAAAACATGTCCTGCATAAAATGATATCGTGACTAAAAATGGAAATTCAACAGCACATACCACACACTGTACCCAGGAAACGAATTTATGTCAGATTATGTTATGTGCAGAAATGAATGAGGAACAAAGCAGATATTTACATAAATTGACACCTTGAAAGCACTACACAAATGGCACCAAGTTTGGAGGGACCAGTGGTTACATTTTGAAAAAGTCTGCCTCATGCTGTTTCCTTTACCTTGCTTCTTTCAGTCTAGCAAAATCTGTTGAGGCACTGTCTCTGTACATCAGCTTACATACACTGAACATGAGGCTTCACTAAACAGAATACTCAGTTTTTATTGCTGCATTACGAGTATACTGTAAATATTGTATATAAATATATTACAAAACTGGCAAAGGGTGTAAAGCATTATCAGTTTCTGATAATCAGAGATCATTAAGAAGACAGATGATCTACATTAAGTGATCCACAAAATGGTAGCATAACATCTCAGCAAACCAGCGTTGAGGCTAAACAACATTGCTAGGCTTCAGGGGTGACTACAGACGGGGTTGTGGACAACTGGATTTACTGACCACTCACAGGTGGTAACTACAAATAACTACAACACTATCACTGATTTTCACACTTCACAAATCATGACATGAAAAGTCTTCTCCAGTCTGCAGTGTCTTCACTAGTCACTGCATTGTAACGAATCTTAACAATGTGCCATAGCTCAAGCAGTTAGTCGCTGGCTTCCCACTGTGGTGGCCCGAGTTCGATCCCGGGTCTGGTCAAGTGGGATTTGTGGTGGACAAAGTGGCAATGGGGCAGGTTTTCTCTGAGTACTTCCGTTTTCCCTGCCAATCTTCATTCCACCAACTGCTCCACAGTCACCCTCACCTACCATCTGGGGTTGGTACAATAGGCCAGAAGTGGCTGCAGTACAAGGGACTTAGTCCCACCCCACTAGCAAAAAAAAAATCTTAACAATGGAGATTCTTCAGCTTCTGTGGTCATGCTGTTGCACGCTGGCTAATACTCCAAAACTGAACTACAGCAACATCTCCCTTCAACTTACCTCGCAGAACTCAACTCCCATATGACAACTGAACTCACTGATTGATTAATTACATTAAGGTGAGTTTATTTTAATTAGAAAAAGCTGCGCTCACACACAATATGATATTTTGACATACAGTGCAACAATTTTAGCAAAACAGAAGACACCTGATAATGCCCAGGAAGAAGGGTGACTAGATAATAAGTTGCAATTAAGACAGCAATATGTGTGACATAAAAGATATATTAATGAAACAGGATGCTACACTCATATCACTCACATAGATGAGCCCTTCTTGAGAAGGTGCCAATTGTGCAGCTACTCAAAACGTTCCCAGCATTTTATGGAACCCAAAGATTCATTACCATGTTCACAAGAACCCTCCACCGGTCCCTATCCAGACCCAGGTCACTCCAATCCATACCATCCCATCCTCTCTCTCTCTAAGATCTATTTTAATATTGTCCACCCAACCTACATCTTGGTCTTCCCAGCGGTCTCCTTCCTTCCAGCTTTCCCAATAATATCCTATATGCATTCCTCCTATTCCCCGCTCATGCTACATGCCCTGCCCATCTCATCCTCCTTGACTTGATCATTCTAATTATACTTACAGAAGAGTACAAGTTATGATGCTCCTCATTATGCAGTTTTCTCCAACCTCCTGTCACTTCATCTCTATTTGGTCCAAATATTCTCCTCAACACCCTGTTCTCAAACACCCTCATTCTATGTTCCTCCCTTAATGTCAGAGACCAAGTTTCACACCCATACAGAACCACAGGCAAAATTATAGTTTTGTGTGTTCTAATTTTGTTTTTAGACAGTAGAAGAGAAGATAAAAGGGTATGGACTGAACGACAGCAAGCATTACCAGAGTTCAATCTCCTCTTAATTTCCTTCTGAATCAGGTTTTGATTTCTTATAATCATTCCCATCTGTTACATATCTTTTGCCCTGCATATTGGTGACGAGATGGGCCAACCTCCTTAACTATTATCAATTAAAGTTTCTCTGTCTCTCTTTATGGTATCTATGTTACCCAGTAGATTCACATCATCAGCATAGACCAACAGCTGATGTGCCCATTTAATTTCAGTCCCACCTGGTTTTCTTCAACCTCCTTAATGGTATATTCTAAAGCAAAGTTGAGCATTTCCTTGTTTTAGGCCATACTAGATAGGAATATTAACAGACAAATGTTTACCTATACAGACTTTATCATATGTTTGGTTTAATCAGCCTGACAAATTTCATGGGTATCCAAACTCTATCAGAAAGCTGTACAATACTTCCCACCTGACTGACTGACAGGCTTTCTTGAAGTCTACGAATAGCTGATGTACTGTCTCAATGTACTCCCATTTTTTCTACAGTATCTGACAAATGCAAAAGAATTGATCCATAGTTGATCTGTTACATCAAAACTCACATTGATGATCCCCAATAATTTCAACTATGTATGAAAGAAAGAATATAGGAAAATACTTTGTATGAGGTTGATAGCAGTGAGATCCCCCAGTAATTACTACAGTCAGTTTCATCACCCTTCTTGTAAACTGGTACAATAATAGACTCCTTCCTCTGATCAGGCAATTCTTCCTTATGCCAAATAGAAGTAATTAGCTTATGCATCTTAGAACGTAATATTTCACCTCCTGTTTGAATAAGTTCTGCCGGAATATGATCACTACCTGGCGATTTTTTTGTAATTTTGCAATAGCACTTTGAACCTTAAAAGGTCTAGGATCAGGTACTAACAACTCAGCTGCATGTATTTCTATCTGCCTAACATCATTGACCCTAGGTACATTCTTCAATAATTGACAGAAGCAGTTCTTTCACCTATTCAAAATACTGTGGGAATCTGCAAGCAGATCGCCATTCTCATCCTTCACCAAGTTACTTCTAGGTTGGTAACCCCTCTTGAAGTAATTTATTCCTCTATACATGTCTCTAATGTTGTTCTTACTGTTCGTTGCAAGCTCAACATTTCTGTCTTTCATATATTCCCTCTTTTTATCCCCGAAATACCTACTGGTTTCACGCCTTATATTGTTCAGATTATCCCCATTTATCTCACTTGGATCCTGTAACCACTGCAATTTGACTAGTGTTCTTAGCTCTAATAAATCTCACCATCCTTGCTTCAGTTCATAATAACCTAGACTCTCCTTGGCAGAAATTTTGATATTCTCTCTAACAGTTTCCCAAGCTTTATTAACAATCACCTCAGTGTCCAAGTCTTCCAAAGCTGCAAACCTATTTGAAATTTCAACATGATACTGTTCCTTATCCTCTTCATCATTTAATTTCTTGAGACCGAACCTCTCCATATGAACTCTTTTGCTTAATTTGCTTACTCATTGCCAGCCTTTCCCTAACCTTTGCCACCACCTACAGGAAGCTTAAATACAATATATACATAAATGTTACATATAAGCTTCTGAACTAGCTACATGGGCCAGAACGAACACTGGTACTGGAGCAGACTTAGCCATTGGGCTGTAATTAGTCCATCCCAGGTTTTTCATGCTCTTCTGTGAGGTATCACTACTTATGCTTTTATACTGAAATGATATGGCTGCTTCAGTATCAAGAGGGATTGTGGTTCGGCCAATAAAATAATCTGATCAGACACTTTTAATCCCAAAGAGAAATATAACTAGTCTCTTCTCAGGTTATGGATGTTCACACTTCTATGCAACACTGTGCCTCTCACCTTGGATAACTTTTGCTTTTGCATGCCTGCTCAAAAGAACTGTATGGGAAAATGATAAAGTGGGCTATCTGATATCAGGATGGTTTGTAGTTTTAGAACTTGCATGCTACATCTAAAAGTGTGGTTAACTTTTTTACCAGCCATCATAACAATAGACAAGGTGTCATTCATCACAACAATTTCATTTTGGAAAGATACAAGACAATGCCAAGAGATGTTCTTCATCAAGATGTTATCCACTGCAAATGTCCTTTGCACCGCACACTGACCTCTTTTGGTACAGGAGAATGGTACCTCAGCACTTCCATAACTTTCTATTTACCAGACGTAGCCCTTGCTGATTAACACCTTCCTTACTTACTCACTCACTCATGGAGCTCAGCCCTTCTTGTGGAGCCACCAATTCTGCAGCTACTCAAGAATTTCCCAGCATTTTATGGAACCCGAAGGTTCATTATCATGTTCACAAGAGCCCTCCATTGGTCCGTATCCTGAGACAGATCAATCCAATCTATACCATCCCATCACCATCTCTTTCCAAAAATGAAAGCTTCTATCAAGGAACACACGTTGCAGTTGGCAGAAGAGGTGAAGAGGCTACTTTGGTAGTAATTAAACAGAATGCAGTTAAGTGCTTCCACAAGTGGCAGAGCAAACACATACGTATGACAGTGAAGAGGAACTACTTTGAAGGCTTAGTCAAGTAAAATCCATCGTAACAGGTGAACTCACACGGACAGATATTCATGAAATTTCTTTCTCCTACAAGAGCATTACTGTTCCTGCACAATATTTATAAGTAGACTGTCCAGTATAAGAAAGTTTCATGGTTTTAGAACTACAATACTGCATTTTTTGCAAGACACCTTTTTGCATTTACAACCAGTGACCACACATTTTACTCCTTTCATGATCTCATTAGATTAACACAGTATTACTGACTTCCATTTTGCTTGAATTGGTACATTTTTGTTGTTATTAAAATGCCCTAAAAGTTATGGTTTTAATGTTCAAAGCTACAATATAAATATGTTCTCTTCTGTTAACTTACCATTTCTACTGTTGTAAATTTTACACACTCTTTGGAAGGGTTGTGGCGTTGGAAATTCATGCACTGAATGAAAATACTCAGAAAACCTGGCCTCTAGTTCACTACACATTGATGATCCATTTCGTATTGAAGTGTTTCGAACGGGTGGTGGAGGGGGAGCAGAACTTGGCACCTGAGAAGCACGATCACAATCAAATTCCAACATCCCACTCTTACAAATGATTCACATCACATACTTCATAAGTATAGTTAGTGCCTCGTAACTTTAGCTGTGCAGAAAGGTGAACGGTGTTGAGGAGCAAGCGAAGCTGTACGCTTGCTGTGATGACATTCAGAGCTACTCTGAGTGGAAAACATTGCCTGCAGAGCAACACAACGTACTATACACCTGACCACACTCCAAGATGCTACATTCCAAACAGGCAGTACCCATGCTAACATAAGCTGATAAGACATCCGCGAGAGATGGTATCACCCCTCTACCACGGCTAGACTTCCGAGGAACCAACAGTACCTTCTAAATAAATATTAAAGATTTCATAAAATTAACACACAAAATGTTATTGAAACAGTACAACGGTATATCTCAGTAACAACACTACAGTATATTTATAACATCCTTCAAAACATTTAGACAACAAATATTTAGCCGTGACAAAATCACATTCATACATGATGAAACAATGTTACATGTGTAAGAAAAATGTTAACATGGTCTGTGATATAACATTAAAAATACTGACACACTTAAAATACATCACCCCAAATGAATGGAAACAACAAGTCTATACTGCTGCATTCATACTTCCTAATTACAATTTAGATATCAATACTTTTTATGGATTTTATAAAATTCTCTTATCAATTTAATGAGCACATTATTCTCAACTAACTATTCTGATAATTCACTGTACTTACTGCTGGAGCCAGTCTTGTCTGCAGTGAGGATGATGGGGGTGCAGGGGAAGTCCTGTGTGGGGGAGGTGGTGGTGCAGATGTTGGAGGTGGTGGTGGTGGACACTGTGGAGGGTTAACTCCTCCACCTAATGTCCGCAAAGGTGGAGGCGGTGGTCGGGCCACAGGTGGTCTCAGGGGAGATGCCATTCCAGATCTAACAGGGCCTGAACATGGAGTGGAGGGCAGAGGTGTTGAAGTGGGAGGTTGCGGTGCAGCTGACTTTATTCCATGATGATTTAAGTTTGAGGGTAATGTGGCAGTTCTTGGAGGTGGTGGAGGATTAGAACGATACTGATGTAATGAGTCTTGGGATTGATGGAATGATGGTAAACCTGAGCTGCCTCCACGGTAATTCCCGAGATATTTAGTTGATGGTGGAAAAGGAAGACCTTGAGGTGGAGCAACTGGTGGTGACCGTGGCACACGCATACTCTGTGCTCGAGTCACAGGAGGTCGGTTTGTGTTTCCCACTGTACCATTTGTGACTTGTTTCTTAGGTGGTGGTGACGGTTTACTAGTGATGTTGGCAGCATTTGGTGCAATGCCAGGAGGCTTGGGTGCCAAGTTTGGCTTGCCATAACCTCCTACAGGTGGTTTGCTAGGAAGTGAAGGAGGACCACCACTATGTAGGAAGCTTCGATTATTCACATGATCAAGGTTATTGATGCTACTACTACTTCCAGTTTGGCCAACTGAGCCACTGCCTGTCAGTACTGAATCCGATGCACTCTGAAACAAAAGGAATGTGTTTTACCACTACAATCACAATCTTCAGTTTTGCACATGTGTACATGCATATGTGCAGGTGTATGTGTTTCTGAATAGACCTATATTAAAAAGTCTGCCGCAAATACTGTTAGTACTACGAGGGTCAGTCAAAAAGTTCCCGGAATGGTGGTAGAGCATTCTAATGGTAGGACATATGGCAATGCTTACCTAATCACCTTCAAAGTAGGACTCCTGCGTGCGCACACGCTTGCTCCATTGATCCTGCCATTATTGGAAGCAGCGGTGGAAGGCTTCTTTTGGAATCTTCTGGAGCTCAGCTGTCGCATTCAATTTGATGTCCTTCATGGTTGCAAAACGTGTCCCCTTGAGGCCCATTTTCAGAGTAGGGAACAGCCAAAAGTCACTCAGAGTGAGATCCGGAGAGTACGGTGGTTGAGTGATGACAGGAATGTTTTTCTCGGCAAGGAATTGCTGCACAACAAGCGATGTGTGGCTCGGTGCATTATCATGATGCAGAAACCACTGTCCCTGCCACTTGTAGCGCCGCTTCCTCCGAACCGCACTGTGCAACCTCTGCAAAACTTGCACGTAGAAATGGCCAGTAACAGTCCCAACTTCTTGCTCCAACTCCATGATGGTCATTCTTCAGTTCTGGATGTCGAAGGTCTCCCGCTGCGCTGGTCATCCTCTTAACGTCTCCTGCCCATTCTTAAACCGGGAAAACCAATCGTAAACTGCGGATTTCTTTAGTGCGGTATCACCATAAACTTGTTGCAGGGCCAATAGCATCCCTGAAGCAAATTTTCCCAATTTGCATATGAACTTGATGTTCACACGCTGTTTGAACTGCAACATTGCTTCGAATGACCAACACTCATGTTTAATTCAAACGGAACAGTAACGACATTGCACACTGCAACCTGTCCAGATCTGTTGCGCCTGCAAGCAGACATGCTGAGCTCCCCACCACAGCAGCGCATGCGCTATCTTATCACTCGTTCTCCACCTGCAGAGGAATTCTGGGAACTTTTTGACTGCCCTAAGTATTTCTTTCACTACTGGTTCATTTAACAAAGCTGTATCAACACAGAGGTTAGAAAGGAAAAATGAGATATAATTTAAGAGCAGTTCTGTACAATCTGCAGACATCAATACACTGTAACTTCCTGAGGGTTCTTCCTTGTTTATGTTATTTGATATGAACCATTAAACACTTCATCCACCTTAAAAAGTACTGAAAACTGTGAAAACTTTATAAACATATTCTTACTGTAGGCATAGATGGTTTCTGAGTAGCTGGAGGAGGTTGTGGAGGAGGCCCTCTGTTCTTTATATCTCCTGGAAATGGCCTGCGGACCACATCTTGGCTCTTAAAGATAAAAATAATGTTCAGTATATCAATTTCAAAATAATGCAGTAGAAGAAATATCTGGCAAGTATTCTATGCAAAAATTACAGAAATTCTTTCAATTTACAAAATTCAACAATGGGCCATTATAACCCTTATGTCCTAAAACCCTACCTTGAGGATGATTACAAGTATGAATGAAATTCTTCTTTTACTGAGCACATTTAAATTAGAAAACAGTTTTTTAAATCCCAAATTTATATTCTGTCTGTCATGTTTCATAATTTCTTAATAATACAGGGAAAAAACTGACAAGGAAAAAGAAAAGTCATTTGACTGACCACACTCCAAGAAAACTAAATTCACTGGCAAAGCAAAATTTATAAGTTCATTACAATTTACATAGTGCTGCCAGATGTGATGTCATGGCAGTGCGTATGAAAAGTAGTGTAACATTATAACTGAAGACAGTGGCATTACTAGGTTACAGCACAGCAAACAACTCATCAGCATGACTGCACATGCAACAATAAAGGAACTGTGGGAAGCAGTGTTTTCTATGCAGTCCATTCTGACAGCTACATCACACAACAAGAGAAGAACTGTTGGAAGAGGTGTTTTCTGTGCAGTCAGTGCAGAGGATATATAATGAGGACCAGCTGCCATTTGACAAAAGAGTAGGAGGTTGGTATGAGATGGCCGACAGCCCATGAGAACATGAGCTCAGGAGAAGAGGAACATTCACCATTGGAAAGTGATACCAACCAGCACTGTGAAGGCCATAACTGAGAACACTAGTTTGTTTGTTAGGGATCTGTAAAGTGAAGTCGCGACCTAGTTAAGATTACAAGAAATCTGCTGACCAATCCAAACACAGTCTATAGTCACTCGATCACGTACTGTACTATCTTTTGGGATGTAACATTTTGTAGTCAGCAGACACTCACTGACATTTCAGACAAACATACAGCCTCCATCTTGATGACTAAGACAACCAAATTGGTGGCAAAAAGAAGGCAGCAAACAAAGTGGCTTTGCTTGCTGCCTGCTTCTTACTCGCTTACTCTTAGACGCTGAAGGAGGAGGCAGTATGTTCATCTGAAACAATGACAAACTTACGCCAGATTACACAGCAACACACCCAATATTATATGGAGAAGCGATGGATAGGAAACACAAATGTTTTTCTGATGCATATACTAAGAAAATATTTACTGTAAATTTGTAACCACTGTTACATTTTACATTACATATGACTGTGAGATATTCAGGAACTACACATGACAGCATGAAGATGTTACAGAAAACAGGACAATGGCAAAGTACATTTCCAAGCAAATTATGCAGGCATATTAGTATTAATGTAACTACATTAAGCATGCAATAAAGGGATACACAACCTTAAAAATACAGTAGAGTGATCTTAGAAACATCAAATTTTCATTCTGTTGACTAGGGGTTCCCTGTAAATAGATTCTGTAAAACTGAACGTCATTAATACATTATACACTGCTACTAGTGTCTACTATCTTCCACACCCATGTAGAGTCTAGACTGCTGCAAGCATTCCTGAACCAAGGCTAACAGTTACCACAGTTCTGGAAACACTGGACCATCATGCTGATTGTGACAACTGCAGCTTGTTGTACACCAATTTCTGATTGCTGTTATTTTAATGCTTCCAAATTATCACATGAGTATGCCATTAGTGCTATGTCTGACACAACTAAAGGGTGAATGCTCATTGTTTTACATCACTACCTACTGAACTATTATTACTGTTTTTACTATTTCTGCTACTGCTGTTGATACTACCACTACCAGCACTATTATTACTACCATCAATACTACTATCACTACCACTACCACCGTCAGCATTATTACTACTCATATTATTTTACTTATTCACAAATTCTATTATGCAAGAGTTGCAAGTTTCACATTCTAGCCACTTTACCCATAAACAGCCCCCGGTACCAAAATGAAGGAAGCTTGATTGGCCCAGAGCCAGTCACTACACTCACTGAGCTACACCAGTCACAGCCATCATCATTATTGTGGATGTTCCTGTTGCTGTTTCACATACTGACAATAAAGGCGGTAGGCATGCGCCTGTGTGTGTGTGTGTGTGTGCGCGCGTGCGTGCGTGTGGGGAGGGAAGAGATATGTTCTTTATATGTACATGGGATCTATAACAGAACTGTGAAAATGGTATATGCGGTGTAAAAACAAAAAGATGTTCTACACTAGCATTATCTGCTAAGGGACCTAAAACTAGGTATACTACTTTGAAAAAAACGAGCAATAAAAATAAAAATACACTGTTCTGTAAAATATATACAGTGTGTCCAGATGAAAGGTATCCAAAATAAAATAATTATATCTCAGAAAGCATTTATTATACACATTTATGGGTTACAAAATTACAAAGGGAAATTATGAGTTTTTTCTGAGTATATAACTTTCTCAGTAAATTTCTGTGGACTCCCTTGGTGGCACAACAAATATCTGGACAATATTAGACCTTGTTCCACGTTGTTTGAAGCATGTTGGTGTTACTGTAGCCACAGTGCCCCTTATGCGGGCTTTAGGGTGTTGAAGGTCGTTGATCTTAACCTGGTAGACAATATTCTTCACATAACCCCACAAGTAAAAATCCAATGGGGTTAAATCTGGCGACCTAGGAGGCCAAGTGAATGGTCCACATCTGCCAATCCATCTCCCAGCCATCTCTCTGTCCAGG